AGGCAGGGCCACCAACCTCCACATTTAATACTAGACCAAGCTGCCCAGGGCCTCATCCAACCTGGCCTTGAACACCTCCAGGGACAGGGCATCCACAGCCTCTCTGGGCGGCTTTTCCAGCACCTTGTCACTCTCATAGTAAAGAACTTTCCCCTGATATCCAACCTAAATCTTCCCTCCTTAAGGGGTAATAATCAGAAGGGCGAATCAGTCCAGGAAGTTTCCTAGAAACGCCCCTGACCCATGCCCAGGGAGGCAGCACACCTCCCTGCAAGTAGGGTCAGGCTGACATATAGGCCCTTCCGTTCCTCTCAGAAGGGAGCCGCCTATGACAGCCATCCTTCTGTCCTTCGTGGTGGAGGCAGCCTTTGAGGCGTGGGGTTGACCGCTTCACCTGAGGCAACCTCATGGATGGACCTCCCTCCATGCCCTCCCTTACCTCTCCCTTGAGCTCCAAGGCCAGAAACCTATTTTGTAGAGTCACCTGGGGAAGTGAGAATGGTCAGGATGGGGATGGTCAGTCTGCTTTGCTGAGCCAGTACCTATTTTAACTCCTCTCGCAGAGTGGTCAGGGGGTCGCCACTGTCTGGTGAATAACACCGAGATGCCTTTCTGGTGAGAGTTACGCTGCTTTTGCCACTGCCCTACACCCCTAATTCTCACCGTTGTTGCTAGGGGGAGGAGAGGACGGGGGCTCTCTGCAGCAGGAACGCCGTCTGCCTGCTGTTTGCAAGGCTGCAGGGGGTGATGGGCTCCAAGTGGAGCCTCAGCCTTTTTTTCATATATCAAACCAGTGTTTAAGCCCTGTTCCAGGCTTAGACACTAGGCAGCAGAGTGTCAGACTTAGTCAGACAAAGTAAGCTTCTGTTGATAAAAGAAAAATCCATTTCATGAAAAACATCTCTGCATCTGGAAACACAGCTCCAAGCCCAGGTTCTTTAAGCAGTAGCTTCTTTTCTACAAAATGGAAAGGCTGGGTACCTTAGGAAAGGCTTTGAAGTGCTTCTGGCTCTAAGGAGCAGTACATTTTTGGCTTTTTCCTTTGTGACAGCAGAATGTGACCACAGGTGCTGGTTCTTTGCAGAGGCAGGACTCTGCACATAAAGGTCAGTGTTGAATGATACCGACTCACAGGTAGGTTAGAATCAGTCCTCTAAGCAGGTCTCCATGCATGGCAAATGTTCACCATTGATTGGGATTGTTGTGTGGGAGGTTAGAGGTTCCAGAAGGAAAAACAAAGATCACAATGAAATGGCAGCCGTGAAACAGGTAATTCAGGAGTGGAAATGCTCTCCAGTCCCATCTTTGACTACTGCACTCCCTCTGCGTTTCTGTCCTGCCTGTGTTGTTTTTTAACATTTCCATTGCAACACATTTGACTGTTTCCCATGGGAAAATACAGCATAGCAACCATACAGCACGCACTTGCTGTCAAATCATTTTCTTTTGTTTTCCTTTGATTTCACCAGTCCTACTTAACCACCCCTTAATAGTTCTTCTCTGTGTACTTCAGCCCTAAGAATTTCCCATGCAAACACATCCTTCAAATGTCTGCTGGCTGCTTTCCCTGCTTCAGGTTTTGGCCAAGTTAAATCTAAGTGATCTTGAATCTCCTTTTTGTATGTTAGTGCTTCAAATTCTATGGTTAGGATTTTTGTGGCTTATTTTATGCTGGTCTTTGCTACTCCTCTGGGGCTCCTTCTTTTTAAGGGATAATTTCTTATTATAGTCAGCCTGTGATCTGCAAGTGGAGGTCCAGGCACAAGAACAATTTGCAATAATTTCTTGACAGTTAGAATTGCAATAATAGCGGTGTTAGTGGTTTTAAAAGAAGCTTTTTCTCTCTAGTGGCTATCTGCAGTTTCACCTAAAGTTCCTCAGGTGTAAATTGTGTTGCTTTTTTTCCCAGTGAATTCTACCATCAGGAAATTGGAGAGCTCTTTGAGTAAATAATCTTCCTTTTAATCTCTATGCACTTGGATCATTTGTTTGCTACAGATATAATCTCAGAGATGGAAAAAACTACAATATTTCAGTCTTTTAATTGCCAACTAGATTAATGTAACAGGTGGGATTTTTCTTCTTCCTGTATCAGTTTTGGGTAGGGTTAGAGGGTGGTGATGGTGACCAAATGATACTGCTATGTATCATTAGGCTTATTTTATTAATATTAATGAGGTTATTAGCTCACTTTCTCTGCCTAGCTTTGCATTTCTAGAAGCCTTAGGAAGTTTTACCTTTTCAAGAGGGCTATGGATATCTGCTGTAGTTAATGTTTACTTGAACAAATTAAAGAAAAGTCATTTTTAAGTTTTTTTGTTTGTTTGTTTAGTTTGAGAGAACTCTTTGTTCTCTGATTAAAAAGAAAAAAACGAAATCAGGTTTTCCAGCAAACAGGAAATCCAAGGCAAGCTTTTTGTAATATACAACCATTTAAAGAAGGCGTCTAGAGTCTGAACTCAGAATCAGTAATAAATTGTATTTTTCTTATTTTGTAATCAACTGTACTAAATAATAGAGTATTGTGGTAACATACCCTATGAAGTCTTTATGTAAACACAACTGACTAGTTGTATTTTCTGTCTGAGAATCTGGACTGGTTTATAGAGTGAAAAATTGTTATATTCTTTCAGAAAGCCTAAATATGATTGCTTTACACCAGAAGTGATAGAATGTAGCTTAACGAGCAGAATGTCTGCAGTCCATTAGAGTACTGGAGGTGACACAGATATCTGAGAGACAGCACAGTGAGGATGTTCAGGTTGGAAAGATTCCAAATAGAACACTAAAAATACATAATGTTTTTGCTGATAAGTAAAACTTGGTCATACCCAGTGATTCCATAATGGTGATTAAATCATGGAGATTAAAAGTGAGTTGGAGATGCATGACAAGATATATAATCAGTAGGAAATACATGTAGTAAAATTAAAAAGGAATGGATAAGACAGATAATAGAGTGAATTATGGACCAGGCTCTGACCTTGTGGCATGCTGCTTGGATGTCACTGTGCAGTGATACATTTGTCGTGTACCACCCTGCTTGAGTAGAGGGGCGTGCATGTCAAACTTTGTCCTGAAACACGTCTGTGCTCACGTCTGTGTAGGTGAATCTCAAGTCTGATCTTCTGTGTTGAAGTTTTACTCCAGGCAGTGGAGCCAAGCCCGTATTCCTAGGTCAGTTCAGGCTTCATCAGGTGACTTTTCTGCCTTTGCAATCACCCGTATCTTGTGGGAGAGTAGGTGTTAATTTAAATGATCTAAAACCAAAAAAGCGTGACATCTGAACAACTGTCAAGGTAGGTAAACACACAAGGTTTGTAAAGTTATCTTGATGGAAGATCCCGGAGCTGCTTAAGGTGTGTTTGAAACTCATGAAACAACTGCTTGTCTTCTTTTCCATCTAGTGCTACTTTGAGTATTGGGTCATGTCAAAGTCAAGGCGTATTTGTTCATGATCAGAACTAGATGTGGTGCTGGGCCCTGAGGGATGAGACAGGAATGAGGGATTAGGACTAATCTGGCACATCTTCTAGTTGGGTTGGGATAATTTCTCACTCAAATCCATTCACAGAGGACAATCCTCCATGTTGTGTAGCAATTAATATTAGCCTCCATGCCTAGTTGGGCTTCAGACCATTACAAAACTGTGTCCAAATTTCCGGTCATTTTCCTTAATCATTCACTCATTCGCTGATTTTTTTTAATAGAACAGCTTGTCAATTAGCACTGTTAGAATTTTGGGGTGATTAAATATATATGGCTAGATTCCCAACATCTCTCAATTCCACTGTTCCAAGAGGTGAAGCACCTTTAATAAACACATTTTCAAGGAAATTATAAATTTTTGTGGTATGAGTAATGCAATATTAAACACATACCTGAGCTCTGGAATTTTGTCTGCATCTTTGATGTCAGTGATCAAGTATTCATTCCCTTGATTATTCAAATAATTAGACATTTTATCCGTCTTTCAAAAGCTCAGAAGTAAAAAGGCAAATTTCTTGAAGGGGTGTTCAATATTTAGTTTACTGTCAGCAGAAGAGTAATTAGGCAGGACGATGCTGTGACAGGGAAAAAAATGTCTGTTGCAGAAGGCCTCAGACTTTCAAAGTGAATGCTTTGAAATTTTACTGTATTGGAGGAAGTTCTTGCTCAAAAACTGCAGGTCAGATCCTCACCTGAGGATGCTTATCACACTTCCAGCAGCTTTAATGGAAGGAGATCAGGCCAAGCTGGGGAGCGCTGGTTGTCGGTGAAAGATCTAGTCAAGCAGCCTTTCTGCTTTGGCTTAACTGGTGTTTCAAGACTGTACTGTGAGGAAATCCTGCATTTTGCCCTTATGCAGAAGAGACAACAAATATGCATAAAAATAGACTTACAGGTCATGTATAATTAAAACTGGATACATACATTCCCCAATTCCTTTATGAACAATGGATGCTGACCCTGGTGAAATCCCATCATTTTTAAGGTTATAATTTAGCAGTGGCTGAAAAAGAAATGTAACATATTTAGATCTTTATTACATTTAATTGCTTCAAGCTTTCTGACTATTGTGTGGACATCACAGAGGATGAGAATCAAATCAATTCAAATCTCATGCATAATGTGCAAGAAATTTTTTGTTTGTTATAATTCCTACCATTTTGTATTAATTATAATCAAGAAAGAATGTAGGCTGCAGTTGTCTTGTTAATGATAAATATAGCAACAGTATTTTCATTTTATGTATTTATTTTGCTCTGGGTCCACCTTGTGTAAATCATATCTGTAAAGAAAGAACAGTGGAGCTTGTCATGTCTGTGCACTGTAGAAATGAGTGCGTTTAGAAAGTAAGCGTGCGCGTTATTTTTAATGAGGGATAAAATAGAAAGATGCCTTGCATCACTTTCTGCTACGGATTTTTGTTATGGCTTCGTGCTCTGTGCTTCAGATGCTTATGTAAGCATGAAGAAATATTTTCTTTAAAAAGAGACATAAGTTGTTTGAAACAATATTTTATTGGTTACATTGTGCCAAGTATTATATAGGAAAAAAGACTTCAGCACAAACCCTAGAACAAAATACTGTAATACATACACATGAGGTATTAATACCTACACCTTCTTTTTGGGACAGTGTATATATCCATTGTAGCTAAAACACTGACAGTACAGTAGTGACAGATGGGACAAACATCTAACAGTAAGTATGTGTACATGGTATTTCCTGTCAAAGGCCATAAAGGCTTAGAATCTCACCTTACCTTCTTCTGTAATTTTACTACTCACAGACCCACGGCTTGCAGTAACACTGGTGAGACACGTTCAGAGATAAGAATGGCAAGTCCTAAACTACTGAGCTGCAGTGCTGACAGATTCAAAGAATTAAAGACATGATTGCTTTTATTCTTTCTTGTTAAGTCTGTAAGATACCTTTACAAATATAAAAACAGTCAAGTAATTGCTGAAGAAATACAACCATATGCAAGAGGCTCTTCTTTTTCTTCAATGCTGGATCAGAAAACAAAGATTGCAGTTGTTGCAAAAGAATCAAGGAGAAACAGGACAATGGGCAGCATTAAAAGCAGGCGTTTTCTTTTTTGGTTTGTCTTCAAACTAAGAAGGATGTGACCTCTCTGTATTCTTTCCTTTAACAATATTCCATTCATACCAAAAGAGTCCAGTGTTTCTATCAGGCTCAAACAAAACACTAAAATAATTTGTTAAGCAATATATAAAATATTGTCTTACGGTGTCCAAACAAGTTTCTGTGCCAGTAAAATAATGCGCTGTCTTTCTCTGATGGATCCTTACTGAATAGCAGGATTTTGGCACAGATTGTCAGCAAAATACAAGAAGTGACTGGCGGCACTGCACGGGGCCATGAGTCCAAAGTACTCCATGAGACACCATGAGAGACAGAAGGTAGGTACCGTGTCAAAGACTGTATTTTGGAAAGTCTCCCTTGCCACAAGGCACACCACTGACTATTAGAACAAAATCAGAGCCAATTCATATCACTTTATGTCAGGTGTCAATTCGTAGCACATGACATATGGCACAAAGTCATGACACCGAGTGTCTCATTTATTGTCAAATATTTATGTCTCCTCTGTAGCAGTGCATCAATATCAAAGGTGACAGTGCTGAATGGAGATTTAGAATACATTCCATGTATAGGTTCTGCTTAGGCTGTGGAAGCAAAGTGTTTGCTATGGAATCAATCAGCAAACTACAGAAAGGACTTCTTAAATTGAGGCTGTGGCTATCTTAGAACCAGAGATGACCAAAGAAGAAGGAAAGGAGGCCCAGTCTCTCTTATAGCTTGAAACTGAAGCAAAGAATATTTATCTTCTATGTCAGCCTACGAAGGAGCTGGGAATCTGTGCAAGGGATCTTAAATCTGTCAGGCAATCAAGTCAATAGATCTAATCCTAAAAGAACATTTCTGAGTCTTTAGCTGGTTAGTTTGGAAAGGTGGGTGTGGATTATCTCTGGATGGAGTGACTGTGAAGTTTGGTTAATGGTTATGCAGTTCTGTTCCTTATGTGGTCCTTAGTCACTGAAAGATTTTATGTAGGAGCCCACAACAGTGAATATGAGACAGAAAGAGCCACAGAGCTATTCTTGAAAGCAGCCAACTGAACATGTAACTTTTCAATGGGGAGAAGTAGATAAACTCCTAAATAAATTCTATAGAAATCTTCTTCTAATATTTCATATTAAAAAAATGTAACTTAGCTGTCAGAGTGACTGTTAAGAAAGCTGTACACATTGTTCTAGAGCAGACCTTGTCCTACCAAAACTGCTGAGCACAGCTTTTATACTGTGTTGTATTAATGCAATTTATTTACTGTGAAATGTTTGCATTATTGAATCCTATTTTTCTACCAGCTGGTCATACTGTGAAAAGCAAATCATCCAGCCTAAATAAATAAAACAGTACCACTGTGGTGGTATGTCAGAAGGTAGGCTATTCTGTATAATGGAAATGCAAATAGGGAAGCAATTATTATTTCATGGATAAATGAAACTTACACAGAGACGGTGCAATGTTTTTTTCTCCTCTTCTGATAATCATTAGGTCATCACATAGTAATCCATCCTTTGTTTGCCACATACCATACATTGTAATGTCCTGCTGTTATGGGAGAATGGAATTTCAAAAGGGCTTATGAACATCTCCTTTCTGATCTCGTACCTCCTTGACCAGAGGCTGAGGTACTGAATTACCAAAGGTCTCCAAAAGTTATTTCACAAACACATCCCTGGGCTGAAGATTACTTGAGATAATAGCTATTTCTCTATGGGCCTCTTTTTCATCTTTGAAAGTATTCTCAGCACACCGTACTTCGTGGGCAGCTCTCTGCACTCCAAACAAGTAGCTGATGACTATGCTGTTTACTCACCGCGTCCTCTCTCTATTTTTTTGCAGTCATTTTAAGGATCAGGAATTACACTAAGATTGGGAAAGCCAAGATTTCAAACAAACCAGTAAATATATATTTTAACATTTTTGGTTTTGTTTTCTAGACAAGCAGCGAAGTGTGCAGCTGAAGTGCGGGAGGAATTGAAGGTTTTACCTTGGAGGGATTGGGATATCAGAAAGGGAGGGCTGCAAAGGTGAATCTCAGTGGAGGAGGCGCGGAACTGTTGGGGAACAGGAAGTGAGGGCTCTGAGCTGGGCACTGTGAAGTGGGGTTCTGGTAGTGTGGGCTCGATTGTTATTGTGGTAATCCTACTTTAATCCTAGTATACACCTCACCTTGAAGAAAGGAATCTGAGAACAGAATATTGTCTGCTTACCTCCCTGCCATCCTTGACTTTGCAGCTCTCAGCTGAGACCTGCTTGAATAAGCAGCTTCATTTCTTGGTGCTTATCCAAGGTAAGTAAAACTGAAACTTTTGCAGATCACCTTTTACATTAAATCTCTTTTCCTTAGGAAATAAATTTGCACTTCAGCTTGGCCTATACTACATAAGTAAGTATACAAATCAGGACATTTTTCTGATTGAAAGGGCACACAGAGATTGCTCCAGGCTATTAATACCATGCTTGTGTGGAATAAAGAGAGATAACCAAGAATTTACTTTGCAGAGCTAAAAACTGATAATGCATACAGCTGAAAGACTACTATTTTTCCAGTGCAGCACACCTTCATAATCACTTATGGAAATAGTAGTGTTTTCTAATATTTTTAGTGACATTTACAAGGGTTCTGACTAAAAGTTGTAAAGGCAGAACTCAGTTCCTGTATTGAGGCAGCACTATTTGAAAATTATTTGACAAACCACATTAAAGCTATCTCAAATATCTAGATGAGAAAGGCAAAGAATTGTAATTTCAATCCAGAGCTAAAACCGAACTGAACGAAGTTCCGAAATAGCTTCCAACCTAGAACTTTCAACCTTCTGAATAGCTTTGAATCTGAACTTCATTTTATCTCACATCTGCATCTGCTCTTTTGTAAATGACAGAAAACTTCCATTATTTTTAACAGGCTAAGTGATGTGTCATGGGGAAGGTCAAACAAGTGGCTGAGCATTTACAGAATCAAGGTATGAACATATTCACAATTCATAAGTCACTGTGCCCTGTGCAGTGACACTTTGCAGGCACAGCTAAGAGGGAGCTGGGGGTGAACGAGACCGTGCTGGGTTCTGTGCTGCAGAATGAGGTCTGAATTATTTCAGGGTCTTCTTGGCCCCAAGAGCAGGCCTGTTCACCTGGATAGACCATACTTGTGAAATGATTATTTTAAAATTCTGTTTCTTCAGTGTATTCAATAAAGGCTTTTCTTTAATTCAGTATGGTAGGACCAGCGGTGTTCCAAGACATTTCTCCTTTCATGCTTGTTAGAGAATTCTTTCCTAACTTAGAGGTAAGAAAGGCTGTCTTTATCTCCAGGAGATGAAAGCAGGAGATAGTCCTGTCATATGGATCGGTTTTACTTGCCTGTCTGGAATTTTTATCACAGTGCCAGATCCTCCACAGAACAAAGGAACAGAGAGGGAAAGCCTGGACAGCATTCTCTGATGCCTGCTTGAGGTCCTCAACCTCTAAATATATGGCAGCATCTCTGGCTCTGAATGAAAATGGAATGAAAACGTGGAATGAGTTTTCAAGGACAGGATTGGTTGGAAGATTTATCATGGTATGGGATAGCTTTCTGGTGAAAAGTTATGGCAAATTAGCCTGAATATAGTGCTTAAATATATGGCACGAAGCAATTCCAGACAGTTACGGCAATAAGCAAAGTAGCCTACGGGTCTTTTTCATCTGGACAGTTTGGGAATGAGTCTCTGATTGGTTTCTCTCGCAGTATTCTCTGCAGCTGGTGAGCAAGGAGGGAAAAAAGTCAATATTTGCTTTTAAAAATATTCTGAATGTTTTGTACTCTGGTCACTATGTTTTCCTGTTCTCCATGTACATGATATTATATAAAAGTTGCCCGCTTTCCTTATAGTGCTAAGGAAACAAATTCAATTGTAGAAAAAAACAGCAGCAGCTTGGAGGTGGTGGCAGGAAAGTACAGGACAGAAGCTGAAAAGAAGAGGGAAGGAAGGTGAAACAAAGCACGTCATCTCATCACTCCCCTAGCTGCCATAAGAGCAATCAGCTCAAGAGAACATTTCTTTCAGGCTGTGTTCAATCTGCTGCAATTTAAAATGTCTCAAGTGATGGGGAATATTTTCTCACTACTTATGGAAAAGTTAGAGTGTGTCAGGTCAAACCAATAAATATCTGGTTTGGCGGTGACATTTACAAGTTGCCTGCTCCGCTGAGCTCAGTATTCAAGATAACAGCTCACATTCTACAGTCGGTTCCTTAATTATCTTGTCTTCCCCCAAAAAATTTGTCAGGAAGCCATCTGATAATATCCCAGATAGATTTGCTACGCCAGTAAAGCATTGGTTTGACTTTGACATGCTTTCAGGTTTACTGAAGATGCCTTCCTGGTAGGAGGAGATGACTCAGCAGCTGCTTCAGTGCTTGTTCTCCCCACCTTAAAAACAGTTCTCTTTAAATGTGTTTCCTTAAGGGGTTATTCAAGTTTCTCATCATACATTCAGCAGAAAAGAAGAACAAAAATCTTCCCCCAAACAATGTTCGGTATTTTTGAAAGCAGTTTTAGGGTAAGAACTATATAGTATCTAGGACAGAGTGGAATATAAATTAACATGGAAAGGACGAAAGAAACTTCAACACAGTGAATGGAATCCAGAATTTGTTTCATAATGAAATTCTTACTTGTTAAATAGATCCATACTCTTCTCCTTTCTTCATAGATTCTCCACTGAAGATTTTTCATTAGCAATCATGAGGCGGAGAGTGAAGAGACCCAAAGACCCCATTGCTGTGTGAATTCACATTATTTTTAGCTCTCTTGCATGAGAAATTTTAGGCTTGTAGAATGACACCTCACCTACATGCAAAAATATGAATACAAAGTAAATCCTTATGATCTCATCAAATTACTGCATTAAAAATCGTAACAAAAATACCTGTTCAAGACACTCAAATGTACAAAATATAAATTAGTTCTCAGAATACCAACTTGAATGAAGTCTGCATTAAACCTATTCTGTGGCTGATTATACTTGTTTTGAAAAACTGTCTTGTTCATATCTACAATCACACTGGCACAATAATAAAATCCTCAAGCCTTGGCTGCAGCCATGGCACAGAAATTAAATAGAAAACTTTGGAAATAAAATGCAGTCTGATTTTGTTAAAGTAAGTGCTTTTCTCCAGAGCACCTGGAGGAAAAGTTAAAAAAACCACTCAGTATGTTCTTTGGCCTAGTGGATATGTGAAACAGAAGGGGGCATCTATATTTGCCCTGGTAAAGCTGCATAAAAATCATATGAGCAAACTGAGGAAATATGTACTAGGACTAATCAACACTATTACGAACGTGTCTGCAAATATGCTTTCCTAAGAAATTTAATACTCAGATCTAAATGTAGGAAGGTATTTCAGACAGAGTTCTGTCAGTTCTTTCATTAACTTAAATCATGTAAGACTGTATTCACATATAAATTGCAGTGCGTGTTGAGCTATGAAGTGTAACAGCATTCACAAAGCCAGAATTAAGAGTCTAAGTGGTCCTTATAAATTGGAAAGCTGGCCAGAATTCAGTGAGATGCCATGCAAAAAAGTGGACAGAAGCAGAAATCTCACCTGCCTATATGTTAACAGCAATTTCATATATGATACATCCAAAGAATTGGATGGGCACCAAGAGCCACTGCCCCACTGCCCATTGGTACATGAAGGCTGCTACTGTCCTCCACATTGCACTGTCTGCAATAGAGGAGGGGAAAGGAGATACCACTGATTTTCAGAAAGTATGAAGTTGAAAATTCACAAACATTTTCAACTCTAAAAGTATCCAAGAAATTTAATCTCACTTTTTTTGGTTATTGAATAGAGGGACAGACAAAATACTGTGTGACTGAAAGGTTGGAGGACTCCCCTGTGCAGAAAGGGCACGTGGCAATGATCAGAGAATCACAGAATCACGAGGTTGGAAAGAATCAACAAGATCATCTAGTCCAACCGTCCTCCCATCACCATTATTACCACAAGCTACGAAGCCATGTCTCATAGCTCCTCATCCAGATGCCTGTTGAACACTGCCAGGGACAGCGAGTCTACCTCCTCCCTGGGCAGCCATTCCAGTGCCTGACCATTCTCTGAGAGAAAAAGTTTTCCTCATGTCTAACCTAAACCTCCTCTGGTACAGCTTGTGGCCGTTTCCTCAGGTCCTGTTTGTTGCCTGGGAGAAGAGGCTACTGCTACTGTCGGCTGCTTCAGGGTTAGCAAAGGCAGTTCCTGAAAGAAATTTCTGACCAGTTTGGATGTGGATGAAAATTTTCCATAGACTGTGTGCTGTAAATCCCTTAAAGAACTAGAAATCCCTCTCCCGAGCATTAATTTTCTACATCTGTCCTTTTTTCTCCCCTCTGTTCTTTTTGCTTTTCTGTTTTCTCCCCACTGTGACAGAGCTGGGTGGCCTCCCACAGCAGGCACAGCCCCTGAGGAAAGGATGCTGCCCAGTGCATTATCTCTACATACAATTGGGTCCCCACTAACAAACAAACAAAAATCTGAAGAACTATCTTGAAGCATCTGTCTTTCCTAGCAGGATCACTGTGAGCAGACCTACCAGTAGTAATATTTGTGTTCAAAATACATTTTAGAAAGCAAAGCAGATATTTTTAACCAAAACAATTACATTCTTTGGCAAAAATAAACCCTGTTCTCTCCAAAAGCAGCTTTAGGAGCAATGCAGCCACTTCTTGGAAGCCTCCTTGTTTTGGTCAAGTTTCTTTCTCCTGGCAGAAGGATTTGAATAAATTGTATAACAGTCTTCTCTCATCTGAAATCTTTTCCCACAGACAATATGTTGCTTGGTCTTGTTAATGAGTCTAATTAAGTCAGAATCTGTAGGAAAAAATGTAGCCAAGAATAATTGAAAACAATTCACATTGCCTACTGAAAAAGATGTGCTGTTAAAATAGAGAAAACAACAGTGCAACTGGGTTGTCAGAGATGCTTATAGTTCTAAAATCCCCATAGCCATAAACTTCACAGTCCATGTACAGCAACAGCCTCTGCACAAGACACAAGACAAAGAAAACCAGGCTATTTTCTGAATACAATTTGTCCTCAGCACCAGCAGTGAAACTGTCCATACTTTACCTAAAGCAAACAGATTTTTTTTGCTTTAATGTGTCTTTTTTTTGCTTGTCTACTCACTGTGAATTGTTGTCAAATTCTCCCCCTTGAATCTGCTATGTTCTGTCTGCCAGAACCTCTGCCCTTTCAGAGAACAGAGGAAAGGCACAGTGGCTGAAGCTCATTTTCTTCTTAGCTGTATCCAATGGCACATGTAGACTTGACTTAGCCTGTGATATGGCTGTATTTGCAAGGGTTTTAACTTCTTTCTCTTGGTCTACTGGAAGTTCAAATCCTGGGTTCAGTTTCTTTTATACTTGCCTGCTTCTACATCAGTCATTTACGAAATCAGCTTTTCAGGTAAAGTGCTGTTCTACTTCCTTTGCTAAAAAAAAACAAACAGATTACATGTAATGAGATACTGAATGATAAATTAAGAGCTCAAGAGACTGCTTGGTTTTCTATTCTTAAAGGTGTAGGAAGTGTCATTACCACTCAGAGTTTGAATGCCAATCCCACCAAGCAGGGATTATTAGAGAATAATGTGATTTTAGGTATTTAAATATAACATATAAAATAACATGTTAATACATGAAGGAGTATTCTCCAATTTTTGGGATTAACTACAACTAATTAAAATATTATTTTCAACAGACAGAAATACTAATTACTCCTTTAATCGAGATTCCATCTATAGCAAAACAAGTTTAAAATTCTATGAAGAAAACTAGTGAGAAGTGTGCATTCATATCCACCGTGTTTGTGGGCTAGCAGCAAACTCAGTTTATCTGTAATGTATTCAAATTAATACAAAGTAAAACAGTACATTTACCAGGAAAACTCTTCTTTTTTGAAGCTCAACGATACCAGGAGTTGAAGAGAAAAAAAAAGTAGAAGGTAAAAACAGTATTAGAGCTCAAAACAGCACAAATATATAAATTAAATAAGAATGAAAAAAACTTTCACACAGGTCGCCATTTCTTACTGCATTTACTCAACCAAATCATCCTTCATGCTTTTATCAGTTTGAGGAGCAAGGAAGTTTTCTTTCTGAAGATCTAAAAGGAACACCAGTAGAGCAGGGGATTCAGGGAACACTGACATTTCACTCCAGAAGTTGGTACCCAAATCTTTTTGCCTTGAGCAAGAGAGCACTGGGATCATGGAAATAATTACAGAGCGTTGCAGCTACTGGCTCTTTCAGTGTTAGTTTAACCTGTACCCTGCAGGATTCCTGTTTATTTAAGACCTCTAAGTCTCCATATTACTCTTGTCAGCAGGAGTTAAGGACACTTAAGAACAAGGAAGAAGAAAAATTCACAGCCTTTGCCAGCCACCCTCATCTGCCCATCAAACCAGCCCTGCCCAGATCTTATGGCCTAAAGAATGAGAGCAGAACTTCCTAGCAAGGAAACTAACGCCAAGGAAATAGAAATCCTTCCTAACGGCATAAGAAGGCTCTGCTCCCTAGCAACCTCCATCCTTACGGAACCAAATTTTATCAGGAGTGCTGTGCTCCCAAGCTCACCTACTTCATCTCAAGGAGAACTCACAGGAGATGCGATAAGTGCACCAGACTCTCCTTTGGAAGCTCGTACCACTCAAGCTGTTGATCTTTCTCTATACTGGGACTGCAGATGGTCTGTCACTGTTAAGACAGTTTGTGCAGCTGCTCATCCTAAATTACTCCACAAACTTCTACGGTTTTCTTTCCTTTTGCTTCTGTTCTTTCACCAGTTCTTGTCGTCTCCCTTCACCATGGTTCTATGGGGGACATACACCAATCACTTTTGGTGACTTTCCTTGAGGTATGTCTTACTGGTTTTTAATCTTATTTTTCAAATTACATACCATCTCTGTGGAAAATCAGAGCAGCGTTTGGGGAGATATCTCAGACCAGCTTACCAAGCAGCAGCAGTGCTCACTGGACTGGACACCAGCATGGAGCTCTGAAGTCCTGGTTGTCAACTGTCATCAGCCCAGGCACATAGAGCAGCTTTGGATAAGTGCTTTCACCTCTCTGTTTACGGAATCTCTGCATATTTGGCATGGATTTTCAAAGCTTCTGTAAATTAAGAGTTAAGTATGTTTTGATAGAACCTGATATAATGTGGCTCTTATTTCATTTGAGCTTACCAGAGTATGAAGAAATGAAGAGTCCTACATTTCAGAGTTGAAATCAGAAGTACAACTGCCAATCCTTATTTATGCCTATGCACTTTCTTCTTAACTATTCTTTCTTTAAGACGTAATCAAAATTATCTCTTGTTGTACAGAAAATTAACCAACCAAATAACCCTTGCTTCTTTCAACTGAGGAAGGTACAAAACAAAGTGATGTATCTTGAAACAATTAATCAAATGCAGTTCATTATTCTTACAAGAGCACAATGACATACTTCCAGGTTTGGAGATTATTTACTTTCTGAAATATGTTTTAGGAACTTATTATGGTCGTAGTCACAATTGGCCTCAGAGAAGGACATGGACTTGGAGCTCGTTCAGAGTAATTTAATTAATCTTATTCAAAAAAGCAACAGCCAACCATTACGACCCAAGTCAATACTAAAATGATTTCCCAAAACTCATTACAAAGTCACTTTCAGGAAACAACTGGTAGTTCCAGAACTCAGAGGCTACACTATAAATTTAATTTTCTTTAAAGTCTGTAAACGAGCATTTAAAAAAAAAAAAATGGTGTATTTCCATTTCCCTTAAATAAAGTATAGTGCCTTGGGAGGCATGTCTTCTTTTTTTGTCTAAATCCTCATTTTTTTAAGAAGTTAATATACTTGGTATGTTTGTTACCACATCACAGTGCCTAGAAATACAAACAAAAAACTAATTTTACTTCACGAAAATAAACATGCAGCATAAATCTAATCTGCCTGCCTGCCTACCAGATGGAGAAAAGAACAGGGCCAAGTCACTGACAGAGTAACAGTTTAATCACATCAGCTTGATGTTGACTTACTTATAAATACAAACAAGTCCACTTGCACCCTTGGGAACTCACCATGTTTTCTCCCAATTTTTGAAAATAAATGCAAATTAATTCTTTATTCACTGTTCAGATCACTGCAGAGGAAATACCCCATTTATTACCGGTGGTTCATTTGGATACCTGTATCATGATCCATCAGGAGATAAATTGCTCCGTTTCATAAACTGAGTCAGCCTCCAGTAGGTAAGTAGAGAAGTTTCTGGAACTTCAACAAGACTCAGGAACAATCAGTAGGTGCCTTGACATTTCCCTCACAGGATAAGGATTTAGTCAGTACCAAATTTGGGTCATTTTTATACATATTTCTTCCTATTTAAATTAATAAAATCATTTCTCTGTGGGGTGAAAGAATACTCAGAGCAGCAAGGAATGGTGAATATTTGTCTTGGAATATCTCAGAACTGGCTCTGGAATGGAGAAGGGAGTACAGTTCTCATAGCACTGATGACTTGAGGAAGTACAACCAGTAAGAAAGGAAAATTCTGCCCTTCCAAAAGAGCACTATAACACCCCATCTAGTTCTTCATAACACTGTGGTGTCATTGATATGATCATCGGCGTATGTATGTTCTGCAAATCAGGTAATAATACTTGGGAAATATTAGGAAATGAGAGAAGGAGAGACACATGTTGAAGAGAACAAGTGGGTTAATAAAGTAACAAATACATTTGTCCAGAACTGCAGAAACGTCAGTACTTGCCTGCAATTACTTGTAGCCAGGAACATTGCACACATGCTTGAATTGCTCTTTCAAATATGCACTTTTTTGGTTCTTTATGGATTTTGCACTAAGATCTCTGTGGTGAACTCAAGCAAAGATAGGAGCAAGAAAGACATGAGGATTCCAGCCCCTTTCATTTTCAGTAAATGAATTTAAACTGGCTAATTAGAAAGATAACATTAAAATATCTTGGTAACACTTAGCTCTGTCAAAAATGTCATAAAGAGATTTTCTGGCACTGCGTTCCAGCACTACAGATGAAATGAGCTGAACATACTCTGTCCTAGACTGGTGTGGAGACTGAAAAACCAGCAACTCTGCTGTTATGGTGGCTTATTTTAATTCTTTATGTGACCCTTTATCCATCACAGAGCCCTATTCAGGACTGGCAAGGGCTGAATAACTGGATTTGCTTGGCAGGTAACCTTCCTTACGCTGCCAATCAGTCCAGCAGAAGATAAAGTCACTGGTCTCCTGTGAGAAGAAACACCTAAGAGCTGATTCAGAACAACACTGGGCAGATCCAAAAAAGGCAAGATCTAAAAAATACAGTGAGATACCTTAACCTAAATAGGCAATCCTGTGTCCTTCCCTACCTCTGCTAAACTATTGTTCTACTTGGGAAGTACTTAAAATGCATATGGGCCTCCCTGTTTGTCTTGAAAATTCCACTATCATCTAAAGAACAAACAGTAATTTTTATACCAACAACGTTCATAGAAACAGTTCTCAGATCAAAAACTGGATTCAGCCTCCCAGCCCTGCTGCCAGCATACACGTGATGTATACTTGGGCACAGTGCTCATGCACTGCACAGCTGAAGTGGGCACATCATCTGGATTTCCATTAATCTGGAAGCTAAGCGTGAGCTGCTGGATAATCATGAGCGTGGAACAGATGCTCAACATCATCAAATTTAGTCTGACAAAGTTCCTGGCTGGAGAAAGGGAGCCTGTGTTGGAAAGTCATACAATAACCCTAAAAAGAGATGCTCTGAAGGACTGGTGCAATGCTTTTTCCAGCCAATTAGCCTTAAACTGCCTTCTGCACAGTGCCCTTTTTTCAACAAGACTGTCTTCCCACTCATCCCTTTCTGAAATACAGATTAACACCCCGCTAGGCAGATAAGAATATTGACTGCAAATGTCTGGAGGTACAGATTAGCCTTCAGAACAGAGAAGGGAGCAGTTGCACACACAGAGATATGGGCATGGGGGACTGGCTGGGGCTGTCTAAGTACATAACCTCGTCCCTCACCTTACCCCAAATGGTTCCTGCTGAGTGGCTCACAGCTCTTCTGGCTTCCCAGGTAAAACACACTTCTGTTGGGGACTCCAGCTTCATCAGGACTTGTGAGGGAGCCAAGCACTTTGGAAGGAAAGACACAGAGGCTTCCTTGTCCCCCTGAGTTTTCAAGCCAGGGGTCAAACATCAGTGCCACCTCTCTGCACAGCACAGCTGATAAATGGGATTTCTGCTCACGGGTATCACTGGGCAGTTCATCTAGCATGCTGGCTGCCTCAGATAGCAGCTCTGAGCCATACAATTTGCCTTGCTGTGCAAGGAAGGCTGTGCCCTAACACAGTTTAGTATTCATCCCTGGCACCTGGGTTCAAAGAGGTGGGAGCTGCAGGGAATAAGCCAGTTACTGGTTCTGGCTGGCTGAGCCCAATAGGCAAGTGGAGGAACTGTGCTACAGAGCCTGCTGTTGATCTCCAGCTAGCGTAACTCAACTTATTTCTGCTGGCATCAGTAGAAATGAGCTGATTCACCCCATTTATAGTTTCTTCTTGTCTACTTAGGGCATTTTAACAACTGTCAGGCACAAAACTACCTGACTGGGGACATTAGACACAAAGACTTTGCACTCTTAATGTTTTGTTTGGCTAAAGACTAACAAAGAGAAAAACTTAGACTTCTGATGGGAAAGCTAAAGCCCTGAACACTTAGCACTAATACTGAGGTTTTCAGTTTCTAAACGCTATGCAAACATTAATTAATTATTCCTTTCAACAGCACTTGGTTATTTTCAGTTACTAGAGAGCATATTTACCAAGTTAGCTCCATTCGTGCACAGCACGTTGTTGGCAACAGGCAGGAGCGTAAATTGATCCATAACCACATGCTGTAATTTGCAGCAGATTTGCTTCACTGGACACCACCAGCACAGCTCCAGAGGCAGCCCAGAGGAGTGCCCGCCCCTCCTTGTGTCCTATGGTGGTGATAACCTTTGCCTTCTGTGCTACGCTGAGTGGAAATACCGAATCTGTTTGCTGCCCCACTTGGCTAATTCCACAGAAATGGATGTCAAACAGGAACTTCCAGCTTGACACGCTCAAAAAAAAACAGTAACAAATTTTGCTATGCATCTCGCCAAATTATCCATTACAGCACAGAAGTGATGGAAAATAGGCAAATGTCTAATAAACATGAGAATGTCACTGTCCCCGTGCAATGGCGGCATTTCCTGCACACGACAATCATTAAAAACTCAAAATATTCCTGTAGTCTACCAGGAATTTACCAATAAATCTCACAAACCAAACCCAAACCAAACTCAGCCAAACCAAACCAACTGGAGAGGGAAGTATGAACCATCCTAAAACTTCAAAGAGCCCAGCAGGAAGGAATAAGGTCAGAATGTGTGGCTGCAGGCACCCCTCCCTGCTCTGAGCAAGTCCCACTGAAGACCTGAACCAGTGCTCAGCTTTCTAAAAGAGCAGCAATTACCACTGAGTTCTTGTTTATTTTCACCTTACTGTCTCTCCCCCTGCGTTGCATTTCTGGCAAAGTTTTGTCTAAGCCGATGTGTTTCCACTGGAAATGACTGCCTCAGTGAACTGTGACAGACGATAGAGCTGTTGCTACAGGCCAGATAATACCTCCGCAACTCAAAAGAGAGTCTTGGGAAGCATTAAGCTATCACTTTTTAATTAGCACTGCCTAAACTTTTTCCAGTGAACAGATTTCTGGCATTTAATGCTGGAAAATGTCAAGCTGCCCATAACCTTTGGTAGACACAAAGAATGGCTGTCGGCACCATTTTATCTCACCTCCTGTGCCAGAAATCCCTCTGCAGGGGTCCAGGCCCTGGAACACAAGGAACACAGAGTCGGATATTGCAATACACCAAATCTGGCTTTGCTGAGCATTCACAGCAGCTTGCTCTGCATATGACTCCTGCTGGTACTGAGGTGGCTTTGGCTGCATCCTTTCTTTACGCTCGCTGTTGCTTCGCTCAGCTTTACACTGTGTAATGTGATAGAAATCAGTGCTGTGCCTTAACATCCCAGGCCCAACACAAATTAAAACTGCAGAATTGGGAACTAACACTTGCAGTACAGCTTCCTTCTCAGAACAGGAATGGTAAGGAATCTGAAATTTTCATACTGCAAGACTTGAAATACAATGAATTAGCCATCTTTAGCCTTGTTTGTATTCAGAATGTTTAGCTGCAGGTAGAGCTGCACCAGCACACGCTGGGAACTTGGCATGGAAAGTGGGTTTATTGGCAAAAGCATCATACAGATCTCCCAGCAGAAAACAAAGAAAGTAGTGGCAAATAGATTTTTTTGCTTGTATAACTTTATCTGTACCTGAGTTTTTGTCAACACTGCTTTTTTTTTTTTTCTCTCAGTTCTACTCAGTAAAGCTTCCCTGTGCATGAAAGGCCTAAGATTGGTTGCTATTATCTCCTACGTAGGCATTTACAGTTTCCAGCAACTTTTTGGAAATAATTTCCCTATAAGCAATACACAATCCTTTACTGGGATCAGGCAGAGAAAATTTACCCAATTTTCAGTCTCAATAGTTAAGACATGCTCTGGGATTCTTTGATGGTTTGTTTGGGAAGAAAACAAACACCCCTCCTGCTGATGGGCCCTAATTCGCCTCCATCTCTGCTCAGTACAAAGAAGCAGTGAGGTAATCACACACACTTCTGCCATCTGCTCTGCAAATACTCTGAGCTTTCATTTGAGAAAATGGTATGTTGCACAGTGATGCAAACAAAGATTTGAGATTATATTCATTCATTCCAAAGCAAACACAATAGTTATTTCTTCTCTAAAGTGCAGAGAAACACAAAAGACTTTTTTTAAATGAAATATAAACATTTCTAATGATAAAGTGTAATTTTAATCTAAGAGTGGAATTTTCAATTTCTGATATATGGTTACAATCCAATTTCAGGCTGAAGGAGGCTGCTCGCAGCTACTGTTTTTCTGGATACTAGCATTTAGCACATAAGATAATTAATTAAACAATGTGCCTTATTCTAAAATGTCACTTTTTATGCAAAGGGTACCAGTGGACAATATGCAGAAGACATAATAGTGTCCCTCCTACACAGAAGGGACAGGCTAGGGTAGTGTTCATCTCACCCAGTAACCAATGTCTGGCCCTAGACAGAGCCAGATGTTGTAGAGGAAATGTGAAATCCATATGGGAAGTGTGGGATTAAGTAGCTGTAGTTTAAATGCCTTTCCAGTATTCATTAAAAAAAAAATTAAAAAAAAAAAAAAAATTTGCTCATGCTGTGAAACATGAGGAAATTTTATCACTTTCTGAAACTGGAATTAATATCCCCTCCTCCAAAACTCATTCTAAAACATTCACCTGCAGATTTTCTCTTTATTCACGTTTCAGGCTTTTGCTCTGTTTTCGGACCCTGTCATACTGCTGGCAACAAAAATCACAGTCTAACTGAACTTACATAAAAATGAGTTTTTTCCCACTTTCTGAGTGCACTGAATACATGATCACTTGAGAAATGCAGTTAATTAATACTTTCTTCATTGCAATAATTTTTTTTCAAATGCATGGAAATTTAATAGCAATCTTTAGCTTTGTGAAAGGATGAATTCCTCATGACATGGAAAAACTTTTTTGGCTTTTTGTTTTAATAGAGCCCAAGGGAGAACTGGTGCTTGCCTCTTATGAATTTGCAGAGCAGAACACAAAGGAGGAAAATATGAAACATGTTCCCTCTTGCAGTCCTCAGGATGAGGGTGTTGGAGGTGTTTGCAGCACAACCAGTTGAAGCCGACTGGCGCCAAGCCCTGACAAGCTCCCTCTCTAATAAAATGTGTTTCTCTCAATATAAAAATCTAATCGGTGGAACTTGCTTGATACATTCCAAATGTAAAGCATGCTAAACATCCCAGACACTGACTGGTTGGAAAGGATCGTTATTCACAGACTCCTAATCAAAGCTTCATTTCGTGTCATCATTTATTTGGTTCTACATGTTTTCTGTTTGCTTGAATGAAAGTGTCTGGTGTTGGAAATTGTCACAGTAAGCTCAGAGAAACCAAGCAATGAGTTGTGCTGCATTCAGAAATGCCCAGGCACAGTGTGTTGAGTTTGGATTTCTGCGTGCTGCTTTTTGTGCTTTACTGTTGTTAATTTTTGCTTGTAAAAATCTACAATGTTTGCTAGGTTATAAAATACTGATTTATTTTGGTGATTTACTTTGCAGCAAATTGAGGCTATATGAAAGCTGAAAACAGCTTCACTTAAGCTAATTATGATGGTGGCTATAATGACTCAGATAATTGTACTTGTTTGACATGTACACTGTAAGTCAGAAATAAACCCCTCTTCTGCTACACATCCTCTCTATGGAGAGTAAATGTAATTTAAACCTTGTTAAGAGCTGCCACTTCTCTGCTTACGAAAGCTGTAAGGTGATATGTGCGTGAGTCAATGCCTTGGAAATCAAAGAATCAACAAGATTGTAGGGGTTGGAAGGGACCTCAAGAGGTCATCAAGTCCAACCCCCCTGCTAAAGCAGATCCCCTAGAACAGGATGTACAGGTAGGCATCCAAACAGATCTTGAATAGGTCCATGGAAGGAGACTCTACAACCTCTCTGTGCAACCTGTTCCAGTGCTCTGTCACCCTTATTGTAAAGTTCTTCCACATGTTTATATGGAACTTTTTGTGTTCATGTTTTAGGCCATTACAAGTGTTTTGGGCAATCCTAGCTTGCTTATAAGGGATTTAAACCAGTAAATGGGAACACCATCACATCCTGCGTTTTTCCACAGAAAGTCAAAACAAAATTAGTAGTATTTGTCATAATAAAACACTGACTGAATTATTTTCCTTTTTCTATACCTGTTGAAGCCATGGATGCTCCTAGCAAAACCTGCTTCTGAAGAGACAAGCATCTGAGCAGAATATCTGGAAGTCTGACTCCAGTCTTGCAGTGTGGCATGGAATATAGACAGCAGTCACAGACCTGACCTATGCCTCAATTCAGGCTACGTTCATGTCTTGCAGCTTCAAGGCTGTTCTCGTGGCTTTCCCAGAGAGAGAATTTGACTCCTGGCATGCACTGTCTGGAGATGAAAGTACGCTGGTGCTTATTTTTATCTCAGGATCAAATGATGAGCGGTCACATCTGGAGCAGAATGCAGAAGATCTGAATAGAAGCCCAAGTTCTGTCACAGATGCACAACAGATTTTGGCAAGATAGCTCCTGATGTAAATATATTCTGGCTAACTTTCAAGCTAACCAGGTGGGATACCTATAGATGGAAGTCCTTGGGTAGGATTCCCAGTCCCCAGCCTTCTGTACTTTTAAATCTGTGCTGCTCATGGTATCCAGCCTCGTCAGCTCCAAAACTAGGCAAAATGAGCCAGAATCATGGCATCTGCAATTTCATATTCCTGCATTCTAGACAGACCACGTGGGTGAGCTCTGGGAGCCAGAGACCTCAAAGTGCCAGAGAGCAACCATGGCTCTTGGTGTTTCCTATGAAACTGAGGACTTGAAATCCCCAGCTTTAACCTCAATACAGATCCTTCCACCTTAAGCCCTTTCCTAGTGCAATCAATATTCTGGTCAGCTCTACCACTAAGAAAAACAGCTGCAGCATGCAGGGGAACATATTTTGTTTTCCCAGGTCCCTGCGCTGATGTTTCTCAAATGAAATTTTCTCTGACGTTCAGGCATAAAATCTTGAAATTAAAATGAAATGTAATTGCTAATGAATGGAAAGCATTACTTTCTGGCCAGCTCTATTTGTACATACAAAATGTACTAGACACCTCAAAGTTTCTTTCATGCCATCTCAGATTATTTTCTTTTATTGTTTTACCAAGATCTCCAAAGCCAGCTGCTTAGGGGTTTTCACTGCCCGAATTCCCACGCGTTATTCCATTTGACGCTCAGATCCCTTGAGCAGCACTGAAAAATTACTAAGCCTTAATAACTGCAAGAATTCCAAACAATAGCTACAACGAAGGAACTGGTCCTGGCACTAAAAACCCATGAATATGTAAGACAAATTGTATCTGGAGAGATAACGGGCGACCAGAATCGTCTTTCAAAAGATATACAATGTAAGCTGCATACTCCTCAACAGCTCAAGGGGCTCACAGTCAATAAATTTAACAGGCTGCAACCTAAAAAGTCAAAGCTAAAGTACAGTATGTGAATACAAGCTAGACTGGACTCTTCTGTTCTACCTTAGGACACTGTTAATAGAGGGAAAATGACAAAATACATAAAAAGGAATACACGGGATTTGACAGAGTATGGTTTTTTTTTCCTTTTAACTTCAAGGCAAACTATCAGACTATTTTGGTTTACAAATAAATCAAACAAAGAACTTTTATCATTTGCATAAAAGTCCCATTTTCAGCACTAGAAAGATTAAGCTTCAGAGCCTTTATCTGTGTGTGTATGTGAGGGATTACAAAGGAAGTTGTGTAAATAATGACCTTGCTGAAAACAGATTAGCTTCAATGATTATATAGTAAAATAGTAACATTTTCTTCACTTGCGGATTAAAATATCAATTGACAGTTTCCATAAACAAGTAAAGCTCATGGTTATTCAGAATAATAGGATAATGACAGTAGCAGTATCTGACAGCCCCATTTCTGCCTCTTGACATTATTTATGGTATTCTGATGCTCAGTCTAGGGAGCTGGATCCTCAGCTTTGCCAGATGTGTTTGCTGTGGTTTAGTGTTTATGTGACAAAACATTTCCTTTAGCAATTTCCTTTATTTTACAGTTATGTGGTCACATTAAATACAAATGTATTGGACCCATCATGTTCTTATGGTTATATTCTTTTAAAGTCAACTTTTCAAGACCTACCCCTACTACTCTCAGGTGACTAAGAGCACATGCAGGCTGATTTCTCACTAGCTTACCCCTCATACTGACATTTACACTTAGTTTAAAATGTCGGTCAAAACTGAAACAGCTGGACTATTCCCACTGAAACTCTGCTTTTCTTTTTTTTCTTTCCTCTTTCTTTACTGTTTCTAAAAGCACTTGTGAGGATGGAAACAGCATACATGGGATGGATACGGTGTTGGATACGGCAGGCCAGGTCTCTGCTCTGACTCAAAAGGGACTCTTAGGACAGAAAAATCCAGCTTTGAGAGAGGCAGAGCAGAAGGAGGCTCTTGTAGTCCAAGTTAGTATCTTAATGCAGAAAGCAACAAGCAAATATTTCTTCTCTTTGTGAGCAGGTCAGTGTTTATGGGCACACTCTAGTTTGCTTGCCATTCCCAAACAAGATGGAAACAAATCAACCAAGAAATTGTCAGTTATTTGTCACAGTGCCCATAAAATTGTCAGCCTTCAAAAAATTCTGCTTAACCCGGTGATATCATTTCAAAGTCACGTGCATCGGTAGCTGCACGTAGTGAAAAACAGGGAAGAAAGCAGCTCAGTTTTCTTACCTCCATTGTGAAGTCAGTGGATGAAAGAGTGGAATCAATCTGGTTCACAAGAGAAATGCTCATATGTAAGGAACAGCACAGCACAAACTCATCACAGGAGTCTTGGCTTGCAGCACACCTGGGTTCTTCATACAAAGCAAAGTGCAGTTCATCTAGCATACATCCTGTCAGAGAAACCAGGGCTTTAAAATCGCCTATAAAAATTATGCTACACCAGCAAAATTGGTTTATGTTTAATTATGTTCAATGGAGAAAGACTTAAAAGCCTGAAATTCTGACTTCCTAAATTGTCAATCATCTCAAAGCTGCAGTGAATTACCATTTTTCTTGAACAATACCTTCTATTAAATTTATTAAGGTGTATGACATAGAGCCTGGGTTTCTGCTTTAATTTCATGCCAATGGAAAGTAAGATAAGCAGACAAAAGGGGGGGATTGTGCCATAGATTCGAGGTGCTGGATATATTTTTTTTAAAATTCTATCACAAAACTTGTTTTAGGTAGATCTATGAAAAATGTTCCCCAGAACTGGTCAATGCATCTTCAAAAAGGCTGTTAATCCTAACCGTGGGTATTTGTACTCATGCCATTTCTTAGCCTGTGTCTGTACAACAGTTTGTGAGTGCTGCGGAACGGGGCTGTAGGCAAACACTATGTAAAGCAGTCACATCCAGAAATGGTAGCAGTCTGTCTTCAGAAGCACAGAGCACAGTTCAAGCTACAAAATCCATTCAGAATGTCGAAAAAAATCAAGGAGATTAACTTATGTTGCACTCAGTGCTGCTCTAGTTGGTTTAAAACCTCAGCCATATTTACACTGAAGGGTCAAAATGGTAGAAACAAACAAAACAAATGATCCTCAGCACCTGTGGTACATGCAGGTAAATTGGGAAGAAAAAAAAAAAGACCTACCCTTGATCAATGGAGAAAGTGTCTGGACATCGCACAAGATATGACAGAGGAGCTCTCAATGTAGAAAGGCAATAGTAAGAATCCACCCAGCGAAAGCAACAAACTAATCTCGAGTCCAGTGAAAGCAGAAATCTTTCAACAGACAAAATCAATCCCTTCCACGTTTTCTCTGTAGTTAAGCTGAGGATACTATCCCACGTAGAGAGTGAAAAATACACATCCAGGGTGATAAATTTGCATCTTCGTATGTCCAGTAATTCACTTTTTTCTCACAATTACCTTTTCTCCCTGTTAGTTCCTCTCGTTTCTTTGCAGTCAATCCATGGATATTTTCATGAAGATGATCTTGAGAATAGAGACTGCACCGTCTTGTAAAGAGAAGAGAAAACAAAAGGTTTCTGAGGGTTATATTCACCGTACCATGCCCAAGGGACTTCACATACCATCTAACTGTGCTGATTGTAGCAGGAAAAGGCAACAGACAGATGTAAATCCACAAACTAGAACGCTGTGGTGCTTTTAGACTGCATAAAAAAGTGAAAGTCTAAATGTTTTTGCTTTCGTTTACTGCTGCTTAGAAGTCTTTGAGGAAAGACTGATGTTCCATTTCCTTTACTTTTCTTTACTTTTCCCAAAGTTTTATTTTCCAGGTTTTGGGCCTGCAAAGAGCTGTTTTTAAAAACTCTGGTGAGAATTTTACATTCTGAAAGGATGTTGAACATTTTCACTTGCTCCAAAATATATCTACTTGCATGGCTTATATAACAAATATAGCTTATCATTAAAAAACATGGTGCCACTACATTTATAAAACCAAAACCCTAAATTCTTCAGTATAAACTCCTTTACCTGTCAAATCTATTTCAATATAGAAAAATAATTTTAAGTATGATTAACATAATTTCCTTATGACATACTTTTTAATGAAGGTCCAGGAAAGAAGTCAGTAGCGTTCTGAGTATTAGCTAAACACGAGTTGATGGCTACATTACCTAGACAGTATATTTGAAGTAGATGGGACTTGTCTCTGCTTTGTCCATCTCTGACCAAGAAAAAGGCAATTACCAGAGAAAATGATAAAGTTAATATTCAGTAAGTTTGTAAACTGCTCAGTGAAATGATATCATACAGGTAAGAAAGGTCAAATAGAATTGAAACAGCATATTTAAGAAGAGTCACAAAGACCAGCTCTATCTACAAACGAACAGTGAAGGGTAAGATTTTCAACAGCCCCACTGAAGTTGAAGGGAATCCCCCGCTGACTCAAGGCAGACACAGCCTAAGCAGTATGGAATACTTCAACCAACCTCATTTCAAAATTCATGTGTTTGTTGTTCAAAATTATGTGACAGTAAATAATTTTTGTTACAGCAAATACTTACCCAACTTTATATTGCATAACAAAAGGATACAATCTCACTCTGTAAGATGCTCTAAACAGTGAATTATTTGTGAAGCAGTTCTATCATTACTTTAGTGGCCATTTGCAGTTCTTGAGTCCACGTTCTTTTTGTGTCACTGGTTCTGTTAAATTGCAGTGTTTCTTTTTCCTAATTGTTTTTCTATTCTATTTTCTGAACAAACACGTAAATATAAATGCTAAGTTAATGGTTAAAGTTTATCTTGCCTTTTCTTCTGAACAGTCAGGGTCTTTACAGTCTCTGTAAGCATAACTTTGGAGTATTCACTATGTTGTAGTGACCAGACCAGCAGTAACCAATCACTAACTAAAAATACAAGTGCTGACATACAGCTGTTGCCCCCAGGCCCACCAAGGACTCAACACCCTGCCCAGACATTCGGTCCTGAGCAAGCAGCAGTGGTTGAACCAAAATATCATGCAGCTACTCTTGCATGGAGTGCCTGGACAAGCATCTCAATTTCCTTGAGCCCAGAGGTCTTCAGCACCATGACATGGTAACAGCTTTACGAGAAAGCACTATCTCACAAGTGATGGGGTATAAACCTGTTTTCAGAGAGCTGCTTGCAGTGCCATAAGTCTGTGCCATCGGCCCTTCCATCAAACTCACGTACATTCAAAGGGCCATGAGATTCATTCAAATCTTGGAGGCTTCTCTTATCAAATAACAATAAATGAAGCTCTGCAGGTCAAATCTTGATTATAAATTGCATCCAAGTACCTTCTAAACTATAAAACACTTGGGAAAGCTGAGAATCACCATTATCATTACATGCCACCCTTAAAAACACATAACACTTGTTCTAGGGAGGAAGTTACTATTATGGAGACGTTACCATTACCAAGTACTTTTTACATCCTTTAAGGTGTGCATTTATCTTAATTGTTGTAAAACTAGATAGTATTCTGTTGATTTCATAATTACCAGGAAAACTACAAAATAAAATACACGTTTTGGGGGAGACTGAGAATTTGATGTAGTTTATAATCAACAACATTGTTCACAATGACAGATCTGAGTATACAGAAATTATTTCACGTTACAGCACTGGTGCTAACACTTGCTTTTCCACTTGCTTTTCATTACCATTGCAAAGTAGTTTTCATAGACAGTGCTTATTTTAGTCATGGCAGAAACTAATGAATTTTTCAGACTTGTGTCTGGGTTTTATTATACTCCTATACAATCTTTTATTATACTCCTACAAAATCTGGTTTTTATGTATTGTACTATCAAAGAGTGGGCTGAGGACGCCCTTACTTCCCTTTGAATCTTTTTTACAACTTTATAATTCAGAAATTTAAACTTCTCTTTACCTATTATGAACTGCTAACCTCTGCGTCTGGCCTTGGTTCTCCTGCTGGGAGACCGTCTGCATGACGGTCACATCCAGAGCCTCTCTTGTTTGGGCCCTGCTCTACTAAACAGTGTGAAAACAAGGTTGTAAATAATTCCCCCTGTCCCAGAGCCTGTAGTCTGCTATGTTTACAGTACAGATTTCAGGGAAGTAAAAGGACAGTTGAGTTAATTCATCTCAAGCTAACATTCATATGCCTGCTCCGTACCGGAGTGTAATCACGACCTAAGTAGGTAAGACAAGAGAGAACAGATCGGGTACTAAATAAGTGATAGGAAAAGGGAGACTCATAATTCCTCCCTCCACACAGCTGACATGAACGTGGTATTCACAGCAAGAGATCCAGCAGAGAAGACAAGGCATCGAGTGCGAGAAGATGTCAGTCTGAACATCATTCTACCCTTCCTGAGAAATCCTTCAAAGAGACAGGACCACCACAGAGCGATTCCCAGCCCTGCTGGATGTGGAAGCTGCTGGAGGATGTTGCCATAAGGCAGAACATGTGGCTGCCCTGATGCCCAGGGAAGACAGCAGCACTGACTGGCTTTGTGCTGTTTGCTAGTAAAATAGAAAGGTAAGACATATGAAAGGGAAGTTTGTCTAGTAGATGCGACAGTGTATTAGCACCCAGCAAAAACTGAACACTGGTCTGTTTCTTCTGCTGCTTTTACTTAGTCAGTTCATGTTGCTCCATAAATCACATTTCTTATTCAAAAAGAAAAAAAAAGGCAAAAGAAGACAAAAATATTTCTTACCTTTCCTTATGTGGATAACGAGAACTGAGCTGGCAGACACTGGCATGGAAGTGGTCTGACATACAAGTGTGGAGAGAGCAGCATTAAGGAGAATACGCTGTGCACGCCCTGTTTGCTGTTTCTTCCTTGACCAGATGGGGTTTGAGTGAATGCCACCTAATCAGAAGAGAGGGAGAAAAGTAAAGACGTTGTAATGAAAGGTAGACACTGTGGGGACAAAGAGCTTAAAAAAAAACACCTTTGAAATAGTATAAAATTGATACTGTCACACAAACAATTATTTCCCCTCGTACCATCTATTGCTACAGATAAACACTCCTTGCCAACTCCGCACTCACACACCCACTCTCCTGGCCATGTCCCCTGGAAATGCTGCAGTGATAACAGCAGAAAGAAGATAATGCTGGCATTTAAATTTCCAGTTACTCAAATTAGCTGAGCTGCTACTTGCAGTAGAGCAGTAAATACTTAAATGGTCTTATTTTGGGAAGGAATTTCTTGGGACTGTGACAGCTCAGTGCTGCTCTCGGAGCAGGGAGAAGCAGAAATAATCACGTGGTCACTGCTGATCTTCTGCAGGATGCACACTCCTGGGTCCCCAGGACAAGCACGTGCATGGAGGAACCCGTCTTTTGTCACTATATTCCTATGACAGTCACCACCGTAGCACCAGAACACACACATAAGCTTGGTTTAAGGTACCAGCTTAGGTACAGCCAAGATAAAACTCACTGGGGCCGCAATGTTCACATGGAAAGCTGGGTAAACCATGAGGAAATTCTTCACTGAGCTCCATGCTGGGGCAGAGTCACTGTCAGCAGCATGTGAACAAGCTAGCATGAAGGCAGCGTAAGTATATTGTGGCAGTCAAAAGGGATCCTCAGATATCAAGCACTGTGGGACTGGCAATGACAAGGCTGCATGGTCTCTTGTAAAACCGTACATCTAAACTGGTCATACTGTGTATGACATGATAACAAGGAGCAGATGTAGTTTAAGCATTTATATTTTAACTTGAGGGTGGATAAACCTCACAACTGAGAGCCACATACTGACAGTCATAAGAAATGGACTGCATATCTCAGAATACTGAAGGAAAAACTGTGATTCCCTAGCAGAAGATAGTATGAAAGGCAGCAATGCACTGCGTGATTCCATGTTTCCTTCAGAGTAGTGTCAGTGAGCAGCATTGTCCCCAGACTACCAACAGGTGGGAGAGCAGAGGGCCCACATACATGTCCCCATTGCAAACACAAAAAGGAACCACCTGCTGCTGCTTCTGTTGGTAAGCTGGCAAATACCCAATAAACACACAGACCTTGCCGGCTTTCCCCCATGTTTTCTGGGGGAAAAAGTAACAAATGGACAATGGTGGATACAAAACATAATGGCAGTTCTACATGTGAACATTTTCGCTCCATCAATTAGGTAAAATTGATGCATGCTTTATGACACGTTGAAGTATTGTGACAACTCAGACAACACTGCAGAGCACAGATAACTTCAGGGTCTGTAAAATGGTTTGCATATGCATAGCTTAAGACCATACTTCAAGCAGCGTAATAGAAAATTATAAAGTGATTTTTAATAGCATAACCTGTAATTTATATTTCATTAACTACTCAAGTTGAATTTTGATACTCTAAAAGTACATTTTTTTCAGCTTTTACTTTCAGCAATCATCAATTTTTTTTCTGACAAGTGGCACGTCTAATTCAATGGCTTTGGTCCCCTGTTTTTAAATAATATTCTGTTTTCCAGAATACCAGTATGACTGTATGTAGACATTTTTTAAAACAACCTAGTGACAGCAATTTCAATCAAAAATGAGAAAAAAAAATAGAAGACTTTTTTTTGTTGTTTTTTTTTAAGCACTATGAATAACAGTAACTGCAGCAAGTCAGAAACGAGAAAGGCAAAGCCAGTACTGGGGTACTTTGGCTTCATTCATCCTGAAGTTTGTTACTTGCAGAAGAATTACATGGGCCCTATGTATAGAAGTTAATACTGCAGTAGATCACCATTGCCATCTCCTGGTAAATAAACCATATAACTGTATTCTGAGGCTTTTTCTAAACAGCCATATATTGTACAACTGTAGAGAGATTACACCATAAATAGGCAATAAAGGATTTAGGGTATTTATTGTGAGCCTTTCATTGCATTTTTATTCTTTGCTCACATAAGACCTTTACAAAGAACTGCATTACAGCTGATAAATAGTGGCATTTGTTCCAATGCACTCTTTATGCTGGAAAGAAATACCACTAGTTATGACTCTGTAAATTAAGGAGACGATGGGTATTGTTGAGATTGAAACAAATATCAGGGCTGTTTAAGAAAAATGCACCATAACCAGAACAGATACACTCTCAGAGAGAAGGCATTAGTTTCCAGTGTATTTTGATGAGAAACAAATATGGGACTGCGATGTAGTAGTCACAGCCAAGGCAATGTCAAACAACGCCAAGTCACATCATGAAGTGACAGTAGGGACAATGATAATCTGTAATTTGTTATGGTATTTTTAATCCTTTTATTTTCTCCCTGTTTTCATTGTCCTACCCATTGTTATTCTCTATTCTGCTCCTTCCCACTCGTCTATGCTCCCTTTTGTCTTTCTGCTGCTAAGTGAAGCTGTGTGTGTGTGTGTGTATATATGTATATATATATATATATATATATATATATATACATTAATGTACGCATATAAATAATATCTCCTTTCCTGCTGGGAGAGGTCAGGAGTAGGCTGACCCCAAAGACAGTCTGACAACCCCCCCAGAAGTGCTGCTCTGCCCCCAGCAGCAATAGGTCCTCCCCTTGCTGTGCAATCACTCACAAGCACAGGAGGAAGGACAAGGAGATGTGTCTACAACCCATTACCCCTCAGAGCAGAGGGCAGTTGGTAAATCATCCTTTCAATCAAATCAGTAAACAGAGAGAAATGATATCTAACCAGCAATAAATTTCAGACAAATTCAGCAAGAAGTGACAGACTAGTCAAATACTGCGGTGCTTCTCTCTGCAACAAAGTGATATCCTTTATTTGCAGATGCATTCATACTGTCAGCATTGCCAATTAATAGGACATTGGACAACCCCTTTAACAAGTGTTTGCTTTTTCCCATAGAACAGCACTGAACTTTTTGAAGGCAAGGATGCATCGTGAATCATAAAGGTGGGAAAAGACCTCTATGATCACCAAGTTCAACCAGCAACCCATCCCCACCATGGCCACTGACCTTGGCCCTCAGTGCCGCATGTCCATGGTTCTTAACCACCCCCAAGGATGGTGACTCCACCACCTCCCTGGGGAGGCTGTGACAGTGCCTTGATAGCCTTTTTGAGAAGAAATGTTTCCTAATATGCAGTCTGCAGGAAGAGTGCCTACCTCAGAGCAGCCTCTGCAGTGGTAACAATCCTGTTGTTTTTTCTCCCACCCATCAGCTACACACCCAACACTTCAGCAGATGAGGTCAACTGCCAACCTGAACACAAGGATGATAGATGATAGATAGGGCAGAGGTAATTTAGAGCTGCCACAGTGTCAGAAAGAGTGAAGATTAACTGAAGCTCATAAACAGCTGTGACAAGTGGCAGGGTGTAGACACCTGGAGGAAAAAGAATAGCTTGGAATGAGAGTGAGAAAAGGGTCTTGACAGAATTAAAGAGTGGTCTATTTTCTCATCAGCTTCGTACCCTCATAAGAGGACTCAAGCTTGGAATCACAAAGGCATTACAATCTGGAGTCCCTAGCAGATTACATTTAATGATCTTAATAGCTATTAAGACCAAAAGAAACTAGAAAATACAAGCTGAATATTAGACTGTCCCAGGGGATGTGGAATCAACACGCAGTGCTAATGGCATCCACAGTCGTTCCTATTAGATTGTGCCTAGAAACTTCTCCCTGAAGCACCACTTTAATTATGTATTTATTAATTTATTTTTATTTGCTTTAGCTGTTCTCCACTCTTTATAAACACACGTGCTTCCTAGTGAAAATAATAAAATCATTTCAGTGAGTAAACGGGTACAAAATCTGAGCTCTAATAATGAAAGGGTAGAATTGGTAGCATCCTTTAAAAATGGCAGGGAAAAATACAAATGCCCATACTGTGGAGAAGGAGAAGATGAATACAAACTAGAAACTGAGATATATTATACTTCATACAACTGCAGCTGAAAAAGAACAGCCAAGTATTTGCTGAGAAGAGTACACATATCTTAAGGAAATCTGGGACTAAAACACACTAGCAATAAGTGGAAAATGTGATTCCCACCCCCCTCACCTGTGATGGTGATACCCCCAACCCCACTTCACTTGTTACGTCCACAGAGCCATTCACTCACCGATCACCATCAAAGAAAAATCATTTTACAATATCCAACCAGGCAAGAGTAGGCAATGTGGACACTGCCATCATGGGCTGGCAAACTTTGGACTCGAAAAATGAAAGTTCAGTGATCCTGCACATCAAGTGCGTGTAGTATAAGAGTAGTGAGTGTTGCAGTTAATTGCTGCTGGTGCTGGTTCATGAGCTTTTTGATCTCTGCTTACTTGACAGCACACACATTGACGAATAATGCTTGCTTGTTATCAGCAAGTGTTGTAATCAGTAAAAGGGGATCAACTGAAGGCAGACTCAAGTAACATTTGCACTGCTTCCAGTACTAAATTTCCTGTCAAGAAGGAAATAAACTTTGACTACTGTCTTATATTTACATTGGCTATTTCCTTCCAGGAAACCGTTTGACTTGAAATGCTAGAGTCATTAACAGCAGCTTGACTGGCATCAGTTCCTACAAATCACCCAGCTATAAAACGTAAAGCGCGGGGATTCCAAGAGTCACGACGTTTGCAGCGGTGTGAGAAGAAACGTGGATATCCTCAGCTCTTCAGGGATTATACATGCTGATACATTACAGATATACATATATACGAGAGAGAGCGCACACTGCAGCCTACACTAATAATCGCTTTCCATTTCCAAGGCTATCCATGCATCAAGAAAGGAGAGAAACTCTCTGATCTTTTTTTAATGGTTTTAAGCTCTAAAAATCAGAAGGTGGAAAATATCCCTAAGCAAGTTCTTTGCACAATTCAAGTGAGGGCTGTAAGACTGACCTCCCACTTTCCCCTGAGACTGCATTTTCAGTAATTGTGCTTAAAATATTTCTGAAAGAAAAAGAAGGGGCAGTGAGAGAAGCAATGAAGATAAAATAATATTTCAAAGACTTACTGAAACACACAGATCAGTGCTGACTGTTCATCTTATCTTTCTATTTCACATTTTTGAGGATTGGGAGTTTACTATTATGCACTGCATATTTTCTTTAATGTGCATGGATGGGAAGACAAAGATTCAAGCCTTTGCTTTCCAAAAGGAGGACATTTTAATACAGTCTTTGGGACAGATAAGTCAAAGGTGCATTTGAGAAATGCAGAAAAACAGAATTGACTCTAGTATCTAACAAGACCTATATAGCAGGATTATACTCCATGGCTTACAAGAGTATCGATCTGTGTGTACTCCTCAGTGGTGTTACATTCATTTTAACATTGATCTCCATTTCATTATACCACTGCATCATGCACTCTCAGTGTCATCTGAGTGCCACTCTAAAACTGAGTGTCTTCTGTTGCTGTCAAGTTCTACAAATACATTGCGCAGCTTGCAATTCAAAATATCAATTCCAAAGCCTATTTGTTCACACACATACTCCACATTTAAAGTAATACCCAGGACCTACCATGTCTTAACCTCCAAAGAAAGTTAAATATATAGCGAAGAAGACATCTGTAAATGATTTTGCTTGGAGGAATTTTTTTAATTTTTTTTTTTTTTTTTTTTTTTTTAACTCAGAGCATTGTTTGCGTTGCCTTTCAGAGAAGCTTGAAAATACCATTTCTTTCCCTAACGGCTTCTTTCTATTCCATTTGGAAAACATTGATTTTGCTTTCCCTTGTGATTCTTATGCAGCAGAAGTAAACATGGCTCTGTTTAATATATGTTCAAGTCTGTGCAACGCCATCAAATTCACTACAGCTCTGGGAGGTAAACCAGTCCCTTTGTTGGCTCCTAGTATTGCTACCACACAATGCAAAATACCACCATTCCTAGATGCCCAGAGAAGCTACTGGTTTTGTGGATTTGCTCGTGCATGCTTTATTCCTCAAAGCACATGGCTGGGCACCAGGGCCTCATAAATCCTGATGTCAGCTTTAATAACGTGCTGTTGCTCAGTTGGAGTACAGTTACAGATACAAGGATACATGGTCCAAAAGCTAATTGCACAAACTGTAGTGCATATATACAAGAAAAAAATAGCCATTATACATAATGTATTAACAAATCAATACACACACAATTCTGGGCTTATCACCAAAACCTCTGCTCCATGTTATGCTTACCATTCTGCCACTCTAAGCTCTGCTGTCCTCAGGCTTACAAATATGAGGACACAAGCCCATAAAAACCTGCAGCAGCTGCCTGCAGGGATTGTCTCCTTCCCTGCTGAATGTGTTTTCAAGATCATGTGCAGACTTGTTAGTCCCATAATTCTGGACAAAAGACAACTGATCTTGCAGCCAGATAATAATGCCTTCCTGGGGAGCAGGACATCTCCACACTCATACCTCAGCCATTCCACAATAATCAGCCTTGACTTCATTGTGAGATGTAATTCTGAGTCCTACCCTTTGTACTGTTGAAAAAAGGACAATATTTAGCCATCCGTGTGGAGGAAAACGGCTAGTTTTACCCTCCTGTATGTGTCACAGGAGATGTGAACTTGGAAAAAAAAAAAAAAAAAACACCACCACACACTTCCTGGTCCCCAAATTTTGTCCTTTACAAATTACCTTATTCTGCCTTCATACGAGTCTCCCTTTTTCTTGTCAGTATTTCTACAGTCAACCTATGTTCTCCCAGTCATTCTTCTGCTTTAAAAACAGCAGTGCCACATTTTACTGCTGCCAATCCAAGCCTCAGCACTTCAGCTACTGCATTGTGGACCTTGATCCAATGTATAAAGATGGGAATCTTTCCAAGGACATCCTTAGGCACTGGCACTAGATCAGACACTATATGCAGGGACGAATTTCTCATATCCTTAGGTTAACTTCTAAAAGAAAAAGGCTCTATCCAGCGGGAGAGTTACTTACCAACCTGATATTTTATGCATTGAGCTCCAGAGTGTCGCAAGATGATTTTAAGTATCGCAGCAGACAGAGTCATTTCGTATAATGAGTTAGTTCTTTTAAATTGTTACCTCACTTACCACTGAAGCACCTAATCAGGAAAAGAACAAAAAAAACCACTGTTTATGCACTGCTGTACCACAATGCACTGCTGCTCGCATCTCAAATTCCTTTTCTTTTCTTACAAAGATTAGACCTCAAGAAAAACGGAGCGCTTTTGTTTGCATTCACTGCCCTTTTTAATTGAATAGAATAGGAGCTGATAGACTAACACTGCAGGAGACGTTATTTCACTGAAACTGCATATAAAAGATTCAGTAGCTGCGTAAATGTAAACATGGAATTTATGGAAAGGTGTCCATCTTTTTAAAAAGGAATGGACGTGCAATTCTGCCCTGCAGTTTTACAGCATTAACCAAAAAGCTTCATTCCACCTGCAGCAGTTACTGTTGTGGGCATTGGCTCACCATGGATACACTGTCCCAAGCAAAAGCAAATGCTGGCCAATTCCAAAGACACTACTTCAGACACATTCAGTATTTCCTCATTGAGTCTGAAAATGTGTGCAAGGCTACCCACGTAAGGATGGGGGCTTGTGGTGGCTGCATGTTCTGCACTAAGATACTGAATCTGCTAATGCCAATCCAACGTCAAACAACTTGTCACCTCTGCTGGTTAGCAGAGCATCCTTTTCTCTAGGTTGTGAGATGGTGGAACTGAAGAGGAGGAAGAGAAAAAAGGAGATGTCATTTCACAAATGATTCAGTTACAGCATTCTTCTCTCTCTTCCCACTTATTTCTCTGAGTATCTGACAATCGAGAAAGGTGCAATTATCTAAAATGAAGAAACTGCAATATTAAAAGAAATAGACTTTTAGTGGAGAGATTGAACATGAAATTTCAAAGGATCATTCATCCATGTGTTGCTTACATGCTAGAGGTAATCTCTGAAAATCACTAGAGTTATACTACTGGGAAAAGACAGTGATTAATGAGATCCTGCCTCTGAAGGACACATTTTAGGTGAAAAGAAAAAAGTAAAACAGACAAGTGGCATGAGCAAATAAGACTTTCTCTTAATTGTGATCACAGATGGGTTATAGGACCACACAGTGCTGAAAAAACATTCTGAGATTTCATGCTCTTTCAGTTTGTGAATACAGCAAAGAAATGACCAGGCTACACGGTCGTCATAGCAATGTAAACAGTTATTTAAAACACAGGTCTAATGCTGGGGAAAATTGCATAGCCAAGGCTCTAAGCAACAGTATATTGCACAACTAGGTCCTCCCATTCCTACTTTTTAGAAGTCTTAAGTTCTGCTGAAGGAATATAACCGCTTTCTTTCCATCAGCATACAGCCTTTGTGTATGCCTCAACATTTCAACACTTCTTTGAATTTGCAATCTGCCTTCATTTTACTTTTATTACCACTTGTCATCCAACTTAATCCACGGATATCTTATTTCCCCTGACTCCACTATTTCAGTTTCAGAACTCTGCAATTGAGAGAGCTGTCTGAGGGGCTCCAACTGAGCCCTGGAGAAACATACACTCATGTCCCACAATTATGGACTTCATTAAGAACATATTTAAGTGCAGAAATGAAGTTAGGGTGGACATATCCACAAAGATGATCACTGCAAATGAATTAAATCAGTGAAAGCAGCAACAAATCTTTACCAAAATAGTTGCCAGGCTCCATTATGGTACACTCTTCCATTACATTCACAGCTCCCCAGAACTAAAATGACTTTCAAAAGTTAACTCATTAACAGTTATCTTAATAACAACTTTTGGACAATAATAACTGTACAGGATTGCCTGGGTGGACATGGACATCTGCTGCACATTCAGAATCAATGGCTGATGAACTCTCAGCTCTATGTTTGGATGTGTGACACTCTATTATAATAGACAGTCAAGTAGCATTAATTTAACTAATTACCTACTCTTCCACTCTAGCATTCAGCCAAATTAGCTCATGACAGAAGGAAGATGCACAAAGACGAGAGGAGAGAAAGGAGATGCGTAGGAGAACAAACTGAGGGGAAGCTTTCAGCATTTACAAAGCCCTCCCCCAGTGCACCACTAACACTTGTCACCAGAAGAGAGGGAAAGCTCTTTTTCTGGGAAACCAGGGGTCTCCAGTAGTCCTTTGTTTGGGTGCAAACAAGAAGCAATTCAAGTCAACTGATTGGAATTTCCTAGCTATAAGGCCAAATAAAGAAAGGGAGCATTTCCTCCCATGATAACTGCATCCCATCCCTTGGACTGTTGCTTTCCCTTTCCCTCGCAGCAGGTACTGAGAACAATTCTCACCTCCAGCACTGAAGGAAGCAGAGCTTGTTTGGAGAAAGAATTAAAACCAAAGCAAAGAATATCATTACAGCAGTGCTCACTGCTCCTGCTCTTTTTAATGTGGTGCTGGCATTTTCATTATAAACTCATATTTTCAGTTTTTATAACTCAATAATAAAAAGATGCTGAGGGCTAAATATTGGCAAGCAGCTCTGCTTGCCAAAAATGAAGCATTTCCACAGCATGGAGGGAGGGCAAGAGTCTCCATCTCTGCTTATTTCACTAGGAAAGCAACTCTAACATCATCAGTTCTATACCAACAAGCAGCCCCTACCAGAGCCTTTGCACAATGTGCCAGAAGGCTCATGGCCACATGCAGTTGCAAGCAAAGCTCGCAGCTCCTAAGTCCAGAAGAAATCAAAAGATCAAATTTCCCCCAAGCGTCAGGTATGATATTTTCTTTTTGTCTTAGATTTTGAACCAAAAAAAGAAAAAATATATATCCACTGATGCTACTCACCATAGCCCTCCAGGTGTTTAATGGCACTCGTACGAAGCAGAGCCAGTTCTCTGCAGGATGGATGGATCACAGTGCAGGACTGGGAGCTGAGTGCTGCCTGTAACAGAAGGAAGAAAAGCGAGGAATATTGCTAAAGTGACATACACTCTTGTGTAGGGAATAGGAAAAGTTTCATTAAAAAAGAGACAAATAGAACAGCCTCCACTTTTTTCACATTTTCAGATGGAAAGCGTAACTATACATATCCATATATTTTTTAAGAACCCAACTCTGTGACCTTGCTATGACCTTATCACTCTACTGTGATAAAAAATGAAATACAGCGAAATAACATCTAGCAGAAATAACACAAAGACAGAACCGGAAACTGCTGTCACCTCACACCCATTCCCTCTCTTTTCTTACAGCTCAGTGCTCACATCTGCATGAATGGCTCTCAAAGTTAACAGCTTTGTATCAGAACTGTGCTATTTTAGACACGCTATTTATAAGCTGCTTTTTAATGCAAAATTAGAATTTCACAAAAAAACAAAAACAAAAAAAAAAATCACCAAAAACAACAACAAATCAAGATTTTACTAAGAAGAATATCATGCCAGGACAAAAATAAGACAACAAACGCAGGCTATACTTCATCCAAGGCTCTGTCTTGTTAAAGATCTAAGTGGTGTATACATGCCTTTGTGGTGTGATGCAGTGGTTACCATGGAAATCTTATTTTTTTTTAAAGTTTAGTGAAGACAATGCAGTCACACACATAAATAACCTGAGTCCCTGGCAGGCTAAATCGTACAGTGGCAGACCTGAACACATTTACAGGTTGGTTGGTTTGTTTGTTTCTTGTAAGCAGATATTCGACTCTACCAAGTCTTCATTAAGAAAATTTTGTTAGATAGTGATTGTAGTTTTTAATTGCACGTGCTGCTGGCTGATATTAAATTACATAACCTTTGAAGTGTCATAATCTATGGTTCCTGACAAAGTGACCGAAGCTGGGGTAGATGAGAGTTTTCTGAAGCATTTCTTGTGCTAAAAGCTTATATATATTTTTTTATTATTATTTTTAAGTTTTGCAGGAACATCACTGGAGATGTTTATACCACAGAGATTCTTAACAGCTTCAATATCACAATCAGAAATTTAGCTTGGAAAAAGCATCAGCCATAGGCCTGCCTGATGGATCTCATACATATGTGCAAGCCTGGAAACCAGAAAATTCACTTCTGTCTTGATTAAGGGGGAAAAAAAAAAAAGAAAAAATAATATTCTTAAATTTGAATATATATTTATTTTGTGAGAAGTGCTCGATAGCATACAAGTGCCTGCACTGGGCCAGACCAAAGCTCCAGGTAATGCAGTATCTTGTCTCCAGCAATGGACAAAACAAGACAGCCATGAAAGAGTCTCAGCACTGGGCAGACAGGGATGAAATACTCCAGCCAGGCGCTCCCCAGCCTCCAGCCATTTACACTTCACAGACATCCTGGGCAGGCAGTTTCTACTCTGCTCAGCAGCCTCACTGGATTTATTTCCATAAGCTTGTCCTTGAAGCCCAATAACCTTTCAGCTTTCTCAGCATCCCAGGGCAAGAAGTCATAGGACTGAGCCTCTGCAGTAGTCGTTACAATATTGTAATAAATGTAATGCTGCTTTGATGAAAGGCTAAATGACTAACTCAGCTAATGACTGAACAGAAATAATATGCTATGTACAGTCAAAGGTGGGTTTAAAATGCTTGAACAAAATGAATAGAGGAAGTCAGTGAAAGGGCATATTTAGCTGAGTGGCTTTTAGAGGCTCCTCTCTAGTGTAATAGATCATACCTTATGAGCAAGTTCTTGGAGAAACCAGCGACACAGCTCTCAATAAAGCTAATAAACTGAAGCTACTTTCCCTAGCCCTCTTGCTTTGTCACGGACAGAGATTACTACTTGGAATTTTGCAGTGAAAGAATATCATCTCATGTCTTGATTTGCCTTATACTGGACAAACAGGATCTCTCCACAACGATGTCAAGCTCATAAGGATGAATACGGCACCCCCAGGCTCCCACTTATCGTTTAATCCAGTGCACATAGGTGCTGCTCTATTGATGAACAAAAAGACTGTCCCCACTTGAAGATCTGACCACTTTCTATTCATAAAGGTTTGAAAATGAATTTGAAAGTTACACATCTTTCAACATTATGTAACTGAATTTCTATGCAAGCCGTGTGAAATACGGGAAGACAGCCTTTTTTCTGTCCTCACAACGCCTGTCGCCCTGACTGCTGTGTGAGAGATTTTTAAAGAAACAGACCAGCAGAGAATATCTCACTGTTCTGTATTTTATGGGGAGAATAACACATTCCTTCCAACTGTCCTTATTAATTTATAAACAGCCATGATCCTAGGTTGTTCTGGTCATTCCAATTTATGATCAGAATAAAATTACTCTCAATTGAGAGAAAAAAATACCTCTGCTCCAAAGCTTCATAATAAGTGATAAGTGTTCACTGGACCGTAATTATGTCTTTCAATTTCTCCTATGCCATTCCAGTGTTTTATTTATTTATTTATTTTAATATAAGCTTTTTAATTAAGCTTTAATCTTCACAGCACTAAACTAAATTAAAAGTATCTTTATAGTGTTGCTTTGGTAACTAGTAGAAGGAGGAAAATTACCTTATCTGTTTTTTCACCATGTTGCAACTGTAAACATCTCAGTTGTGGTCTTTAATCTGCTCACTTTCACTCAAAAATAAAAATTAAAAAAGCAGCCACACCGAAACCAGTTATCACTGCTGGAGCCATAAAGGGCCCACAGTCCTCCAGCGGGATCTCACTGTGCAGCCAGGAACACTTTGCTCAAGGAGATTTAAATACAAACTAATTAAGCAGGACACAAATAAGGCAGACCTGAGTGAAACAGCAGTATCCATCAAAGGAAGTTCCCACCTTCTTACCCTCAGGTTCTTTCAGCAAAGAAGCTGTAATATGGCAAGTCATATATATAACTTCCATATGAGGTTCTGGAAGCTTCCTGCATATACATGCACATCTTTAAAATCTATCTGCTATTCTGCAAAGTCATTGCCCCGTTTTCTATCTGGACAAAATATCACACAACAAATAGAACCGACCCGATTCATTGCCTAAATATGACCTCATGTTATAAAAGAAACCGGCTAGAGACATGAAAACACCTGCAATAACTGAAAAGTCCATGCAGCTCAAGTATTGAGTTGTGGAATGGGTAAGAGGAAGCAAGTTATTAGACCTTTCTTTTAGTATGATCAGAACTGTGGTAAGCACTCCTCACTTTCAGAAAGAAAAAAAAAAGTTTCAGAAGATCACCTTACAAAATGTTACAAGCCCACAGGACACAGTCGACAGCAGCCCAAGATTCTGCTGCCTCTTTGGGAGCAGCCCTCTGAACTGAGCAGCAAACAGCCATGTCATCACACTGATGTGTGCATCAGCATCATCTGAAGGCACAGCAGGACATCGCGCATCTGTACAGATAAGCTTATCCAGCCACAGGACGTAAAACAGCACACATCCCATTGCCCTGGCTCGGCTGCTGATGCAAATCCTTCCCAGCCAAAATCCTTTCCTCCAGTTCTCATTTGCAAGGAACAAACATCCAGAGCCTGACAGCTTTGGAGAGAGGACAGACTGCAGGCAAAGCACTACGGAAAAACCCATGCATGTGCACAGCTGGCTTTATTAATGCTTAAAAAAACAGAAAAAGGTTCAGGTAATGAAAGGGCTAAAATGTGCAGAAGTCCCCAGAAAAAGCCATTCTACAGCTCTGATTGCAACTTGTTTTGAATTTTCTACTTATTTCCCACTAAATCAACGTGAAACATCAAAGCCCATAAACCTAAGGCATATAATAAAACGTTGTCTAACAGTGACAAAGTCAGCATTCACCAAAGGTACATCTCCCATTTAGAGATCCTAAATCTGAGTCTGAGCTGAGAATGACAGAACAGGCAGCACTGAAATCAAGTTGGCAATTGGTGAAATTTCTGTTTTCCCATTCTGATAGACAACAAAATGGCTGAGAGTTCCAATTCATTTAGAGACGTGAGAAGGATGTCAGAAAAGAGAATATACAGATTAAAGACCTAAGAACTATCAGCCATTGAGTGTAAAAGAAGAAAAAAAAAAGATATTTTATTTTGCACCACCTTTCTTACGATGTGCTGGAAAAACCTTTTTGCTCAAGTCCCGTGCATTGCATACCTGTCTTAATCTCTCCCAAGCAAACCATGGAAAAACAGATTCTTAAACTAAGATTAAATGTTGGCCTCGTAGCATAGTAATTAAGTATGAACTAATTAAGAAAAAAGAAGTCCAGTCATACAGTAATCACAAAGAGGACTTTTCCCCAGTGTACATTACCCCACACATCCTACTTAGAGCCATGTAAGCAGATGAGCTTATCGATCTCACTGAGAACAAATGGAATCTCTTTCTCACGTAATGACTTTTTCCCCTAAGGAACATTTGAATGTAAGGTATATTTAAGCAGCACTTGAGCAAAATAAAATTACTCTGTTCAGCACACAAATTATTTCAACAACATACCTGCGTCTGTAATCAAGCCAGAGGCTGTTTGCTGATTGCTAATTGTTGCCATCATTTTTTTTTCACGTAGGAAGAAACAACAGTCCTATAAGCAAGTGCCAACAATGGTCTCAATGGGTTGGGGTAGAGTGGCCATCAGAAATCAGTCAGGGCAATGGCTGGGTGCCACTGAGTGTGTACTTAGCAAACATAATTATTTAGAACCTCAGTGTGCTTCCATGTGTCCTGGTTATTGCTGCCACTGCGTAAACAGCAAACATAACTCTCGCTGAGCAGGGACCCGGGCTGCAGACTGAGGGCAATACATTAACCTACAACTAAAGTGCTTTCCATCAAGAGCATCCCACAGGATTTGATATGATCCATGAATTATAAGAGCAACAGTGGCAGCAGCTGGATTCCAGCTGTTCACCCACTCTGACAGATGTTCAGGGCCTAAGTTTGCAGCACACTGTATTTAAGCGAGATCCTTTTCCCATCCAATAGAACAGTGATTTCAGAGAGGACAGCCTCGTCTGAGAG